TAGATAGAAAATAGACCAGGTGTCTGTGCAGAATTTTATTTTGATAAACTTGCTTTTTAATGTCTGTATTTCTTCACTGTGATATCACAGGGTTTGAACATCCTTTTTAAAATCTTACTTTTTCAACAATAATTCAGGAGTTCCCAGTCTTTTTCAGCATTCTAACTAAGTACCCCCCCCCCCCTCCCATTGAATGATTCTATAAATATTGAGTACCTTAACAGTATTATGTATATGATATGACTCCACTGACCTGTCCACCCAAAGGTCCATGGCCCCCAGTTTGGAACCCTTCTATAATGTATTTTAGTTCATGGTTTAGGGCATGTTTGATGCCCCCATCTTGATTAGAGTTATAATACTTGTGGGACGTGAGTGGGAAAATAGAGTTGAAAGCTAGTGTGTTTTGAAAGTTTATAAACATGTTCTAAACTTTACTTTCTTTGTATGACATAAAAGTGAACTGATATATATCCACCGTGTACTATTTCAACTAATATGGTAGTGTTTTTAATTAATAATTTTAACTAATAAATCTGATTTCAGTTAATGTTTTTACTTTTAGTATAGCTGTTAGAGGAATTTTTTGAACTTTAGAGAATTTAGTAGTATTTTTTTTTATCTTAATTGATATAGTTCAGTTTTAATATCTTTGTTGGATTCACTTTGGCCTTTGATACATAAGTATTTAGTATTTTATCTTGACCATTAATATCATTATTCTGAATTGGAACTGGTTTGGTTTGAGTGATTGATTTTTTATTGTACTTTTTTATTATTATTATACACATGCTTTTACATATGTGATGTTAGAAACACAATTAGGGTCAAGAAGTCTTGATAGAAATGAATAAAAAACCCATAACCCGATGAAAGGTCAACCTTTTGAAAGAGCTCGGGTTATAGGGATTTTATTAATTTCTGTGCTTTTACATATATTTTTCTTGTTTTCTAACGTGGTGTCTTTTCTTTCTTACATTATATATTCCCAGTAATTCCTGAAACTTGGTTTCATTGCAGCTAGTGCTTCAAGAGGGATGCTACAACTAGGAGTGCTGTCTTTGGCACCTTAATTAAATGATAAAACATCCTCCTACCTCTAAATGTGGTGAAACCATCCACTTGTCTTACAGGATTTATCCTTAACTTTATTGTTCTCAAGTATCTAGGCTAAATTTCAACATATTTTTGGAGGCTGGGTTTGATTAATGTGCACAGACAGTGAACCACAGAACTCACGGTTCACAACCCAGTGCTTGCACAAAGACATGCATCATACTCTGGAATCATGGGTAAACTGTACGAGTACTGGAAAATTCACACTTTTCATTTAGACAAGAGCAGACCAAGAGTTGCTTGTGGGTACTGTTGTTCAGGCTGCCTTCTTTCTAGCCCATCATTTCAAAATTAGGAACAGCTACATACAGATAGTCTTAGTGTACTTTGCCCAAAACTTGAAAACAATCAACATATTTACGGTAAGAAGTTTCCAAATATGGCTATTATCACAAGACTGTAGGAAGCATGTATTAAAATCTTTTGGTGTTTAAAGTAATCATTTGGTATCTACAAAAAGCTAATATTAAATAAAAACCCTTCTTAGGCTTAAGTCGTTAGAAGAAGATGCATTTCGAGCCCAGATGGTGATTACCCGAGCTAAGAAGATGGCTGAAGCAGCAATGGAAGCAAGACCTGTTTCGCCTCCGCTGGAGGATGATATTGACAAAGAAGGTGTGTTATAAAGTAAATGTATCATTTACATTTTGAAAATACCTTTCGTGCATTTATAACGTGAATGAATTTACCAATATTAAGTATATGTTTTCTTTGAAGTACTGCTAATTGAAGAAGTAGTGAGAAAGTAAAATAATTTTGAGACTGTAATTAGCTGTTTCAAGAAATAAGGTTTTGTGTAGAATATACTTAGCAGTTCACGTGTAAAACTTTCAAATAGTAAAGTATTCTTCAGATAGTAGTTGGATGTTTCTATATGAATTTTCCAAAAGTAATATATTCTGAAAATTATATTTATCATAGCTAGCTGTTCACATGTGAAAAAGTTGGTATTTTTGGTACTGTACTTAGCAGTTCACCCATAAAATGTTTGAAAAATAAGGTATTGTGTAGGATGTATGTAGCAACAGAACTAGTATATTTATTTATATTGTACTTAAAAAATAACATATAACTGGCTTGTTTTTGGATTTAACTTCTTTTTAACAATGTCCTGCAAGATTGATGAGTTTGTAGAATATTGTTACAGCACCACCTGTTGACTGATGTACTTAGTTTTATATGGAGGTAAGAACAAGCTAGAAACTAAATATAAAGGTTTTATATAGAGGTAAGAACAAGCTAGAAACTAAATATAAAGTTTTATATAGAGGTAAGAACAAGTTAGAAATTAAATATAAAGGTTTTATATAGAGGTAAGAACAAGCTGGAATCTAAATATAAAGGTTTTATATAGAGGTAAGAACAAGCTAGAAACTAAATATAAAGGTAAGAACAAGCTGGAATCTAAATATAAAGGTTTTATATAGAGGTAAGAACAAGTTAGAAATTAAATATAAAGGTTTTATATAGAGGTAAGAACAAGCTGGAATCTAAATATAAAGGTTTTATATAGAGGTAAGAACAAGTTGGAAACTAAATATAAAGGTTTGATATAGAGGTAAGAACAAGTTGGGAATCTAAATATAAAGGTTTTATATAGAGGTAAGAACAAGCTGGAATCTAAATATAAAGGTTTTATATAG